TGTGTGTGTGTATGTGTGTGTGTGTGTGTGTGTGTGTGTGTGTGTGTGTGTGTGTGTGTGTGTGTGTGTGTGTGTGTGTGTGTGTGTGTGTGTGTGTGCGTGTGTGTGTGTGTACGTGTGTATGTGTATGTGCGTGTGTATGTGTGTGTGTGTGTGTGTGCGCGCGCGCGCGGTTCTCGTATTTCTGACGGACGGACGACACAGTGTGTGCGTGTCTGTGTGTTGGCGTGCGGTCTATGGCAAGCCAAATGGGGTCAAAATGGTGTGAGAGAGAGAGAGAGAGGGGGGGGGTAAGAAAAACATGGGGAGAGGTAAGAAAAACATAGGGAGAGGTAAGAAAAACATGAGGAGAGGTAAGAAAAACATGAAGAGAGGTAAGAAAAACATGAGGAGAGGTAAGAAATATTTTCGGGCACGAAGAAAGAAAATCCTGAGGATGTCCCATGGGGAAATATCTTCAATGGGAAGAAAGAAAAACCTGGGGAGAGGACACAAACATCTTCAGCGCTAAGAAAGAAAAACCTGGGGTGGGAAGAAAGAAAACTGGGGGGATAAATCAAAGCGATGAAATGACGTTTAAAAAAATTATCAATTTATATCTGCTTGCTGAATGAAAACAATCGTCCAGTCCCTTCAGGTCAAAATCAAGGTCAAATCCAACTCACTTCTCGCAAGGCGGATAACCTACATCATGCAGTAACGTTAAATTGTCAAAACATGAACAAACGTTCAATATATTATGCCAGTATGATATTGACCGTTTTGTTTGTTTCTTCTCTCTCCGCGCTCGCGACGTGCGTAGAGAGAAGAGAAACTCGAATGCAAACGCAAAAGAAATGTGCCGCGGAAGAGAAATTAATTAGAAACAGAGAAGGATGAAAATCCAATGAAACTAAAAGAAAGAAAGTAACAGAACGTCAGTTGGGAAAACGTTTCACGTGTAGGTCGACAGGAAGGCATAGCATATACTGTTAAGGCTTAGTTTAAACGTTTCCACTCGCATTTCTCTTGCGTTTGCATGTGGTTAATTTCTTCTCTCTCCGCGCTCCCGACGTGCGTGCGTGGAGAGAAGAGAAACTCGCATGCAGACGAAATATGTTAAAAGAGAGGAGAGAAAGACGGAGGATAGAAATATGTCAGGACAGGAGAGAGGAAATAAAGACGGAGATAGGAAATATGTCAGGAGAGAGGAAAGAAAGACGGAGATGGGAATATGTCAGGAGAGAGTAAAGAAAGACTGAGAGAGAAAAGACGGAGAGAGGAAAGAAAGACGGAGATAGGAAAGAAAGACGGAGATAGAAAAAATGACGGGAGAGAGGAAATAAGGACGGAGATAAGAAATGTGTCAGGATAGAGTAAAGAAAGACTGAAATAGGAAAGACAGACGGAGAGAGGAAAGAAAGACGAAGATAGGAAATATGGCGGGAGATAGGAAAGAAAGACGGAGATAGGAAATATGGCGGGAGATAGGAAAGAAAGACGGAGATAGGAAATATGTCAGGAGAGAGGAAAGAAAGACGGAGAGAGGAAATATGCCAGGAGAGAGGAAAGATAGACGGAGGTAGGAAATATGCCAGGAGGGAGGAAAGAAAGTCTGAGAGAGGAAAGAAAGACGGAGAGGTCAGGTTTAGAATAGTGGTGCAAAATGTAAACAAGAATTCTGAGATTTCATACCTCCATGAAATATGTAGAGTTTATGTAAATGTTTTGTTTTATTGAATATGGAAATAAGGTGGCAATTGATATAATGTAGTTTAATTTATGGTGTTCTAAACTCAACTCCTATTCTTTGACAATATTTCACTTAAACATCCTCATTTAAACTTCCTCATTAATTACGCAAATTGCCTCTATATTAACATAATATATGTATAGTGTTGTTAACATTTAAGTAACCTACATGTCAGAAGGTACAGAATTGCCATCATTCACCATTAAGAAATCATATAATTTTCACAATAATTATGCAAATTAGGTCATCATTTGCATAATTGATATCTGTTGACGTTCTATCTGCCATAGATTACATATATTACATTTATAAAGGTACTATAATGTAATTATAGAATTTCCTCATTAATTATGCAAATTAGGTCGTCATTTGCATAATTTACATTTAATCGTGTACATCTCTCTCTCAGCTACCTACCTACCAAAATGATGAAAATATATTGTTCCTACGTCGATGAAGGTTAGACATCCAGGTAATACGATACGCCAAAAAAACAGTTACTCAAGCAACTGGATATGATTTTGAAAACGTCAGACGTTTCAGCTAGTATCCACTAGCTTTCGTCAGTGACTGAGAGACCAGAGGGGAAAGCAGGTTTATAATTACAACCTATTGATTGATATGCAAATAAAGTGAAGACAAATTAGTCATTGCATCATCTTGTCTTGACTTGTCTGACTTTTTTTTCCTTTTTCGACTTCCAAAAAATTGTCTTCACTTTATTTGCATATCAATCAATAGGTTGTGCTTATAAACCTGC